AAAACAGAAATTTTGTACTTACCCTTGCATGGACCTAATGAGCTTCCATACCAGTTTTGGGGAAGATACATCCACACCCTGCAAAGTAGTTACATGGACAGACAAGAGACAGTACTATTATATTTATATAGATATCCGGGAGGTGTTTACTAACTTCTAACATAACTACTTCTAAGTAGTTATGGACAGACAAGAGACAATACTATTATATTTATATAGATATCCGGGAGGTGTTTACTAACTTCTAACATAACTACTTCTAAGTAGTTACATGGACAGACAAGAGACAGTACTATTATACTTATATAGACATATTCACGGTTTACGTGCGTTATTTACACAATGTCATTCATTTATCTGTCCGATCTGTTTTATTTAATAAAACTAGTGCTTTAATTATTGGGTCCAATGCTGCTGTTCATTCAATTTTTATTTTTAAAAAATACCAGTGAAGTGACTACTGACAGGTAAAATAAAAGAAACAAATTTCTGCCACATTGTATCCAAGCTTCCTTCTCGCACTGAAAGTGTTTAAAAACTGACAGGATAAATCAGTTGGGTGAACATGTATTAACCTCTTCCTCTTGGTACGGGAATTGTTGGCAACAGGTGAAAGTCAAAATGGCAAGTATTTTTGAACACAAACGATTTCATAATTCGTTTTTGGCAGTCTTGGAAATTAGTTGTTCCTAAACAACTTCATGCTTCTTCGTCATTGGCAATGTTTCAAACACAGAGTGGTTCATGCTTCTTCATCATTGGCAATGTTTCAAACACAGAGTGGTTCATGCTTCTTCATCATTGGCAATGTTTCAAACACATAGGGGTTCATGCTTCTTCATCATTGGCAATGTTTCTAACACATATGGGTTCATGCTTCTTCATCATTGGCAATGTTTCAACACAGAGGGTTCATGCTTCTTCATCATTGGCAATGTTTCAAACACATAGGGGTTCATGCTTCTTCATCATTGGCAATGTTTCAAACACATAGGGGGTTCATGCTTCTCCAGAATTGGAGTTATATTTACAGATTCATTCTCCATCAGAACTGGCGTTATATCTGGGAATTAGCCCTGTTTTTAACATAAATTGGTTCATACCTCATGATAATTGGCGTCGTACACTTGAAAATGAACGTGCTTTCACATTATTTGGATAAAATACATTTACATGACTTTATCATTTTGTTTTGTTAATATCTTTCTGATTGGTTGGACAATTTAAGATTATACTTTAGTGGTGTCATTTTTTAATGAATATTATTTTCCTGATTTATTAGACAAATTAAATTTCTATTTTAGTGATGGCATTTGTGCCATGTAACTGAAATAGCGAGAGTTTAGGGTTAAAGCCATTTGTAGCCTGTCTTACAACTGTTGCGAATAATATGAAAACAAACCTCTTGTACTATTTTAAAAGATAAAACGAAAAAGCTGTATAAAAATGATAGTTCACATATTTTGACGATGCGAACTAAAACACCACACAAATCTAGTTATTATTAAACAATTCACTATCACCTGTTAGTTATAAACACTGTTACAACCTCTGCTGTTTTAAATCATCCCGTCCGCCAACCTCTTTGCCTCATACTTTCTCTGGAATAACTGTTTTTTATTCATTTCTATCAGTACACGTTTTTACACAGAAATTGGATGGGAAGTTAAACCTTCACTTGGTTTTAAACTTGTTAATCGGCAGTAAGTTGTTTTGGTACTTCTCGAAGACTTGTATTTCAGTGTAAGCCTGTAGCCTACAGCATGCACGGCTCGGAATACCGTGAAATAAGGTTTGTTTCTTTTATATGTTATAATTGTTAGATAGTGTGACTCATTCGTAATTAAAGCTTTTTAATATTGCGAAATCCAGTTCACGTGACTATGAAACATTAGTTTACTCCGTCCTTCACATTTGCTACGAAGAAATAGTAAACGAAAAGAAAGAACACTGTTTCGACATTTCGATGATCGTACAGTTATCTTCCATCAGGGAAAACTACAGAATAATATTCGTAATGAAAATAAGGTTAGACTACAAATTATTCTACACTCCTCTTATCTATAGATTTCGTATGGCAGTATTCTAAATCACAGCAGTTTAAAGTTGTTAATTAGGTGCATTACAGCACAGGCTTTTCAACAGACTTACAATAAATGAGACACAGATCCTCACAATACGCAATACGTCGATGAATGAAAGGATTGTGAAGTGTAGCAGGAGATTCAGTGCACAGTATTAAAATAGACGAGTAGGGAGGTTCAATTGATCTCTGAAACAACCTTTAACGTAAGATGGCGCTTCTATACGTACAGAAATGTTGAATGCGCTTTTGAAATTAACCTGTTATTACTAAATACCTTTCATAAGTTGGCCAAAACTTTAAAGAGCGAGAGTATCAGGTGTTCAATTATTCAGCTTGAGTTGATGTTATCTAGCTTTCGTTATAGAACTTTTAAAAACTTCCAGACACATTAGATATAAATGGAAAATAAGAAATGTCCTCAAGCTATGATATATATACCATTTTTACCTTTTCAGAGCCAAAAATATATACTTTTAAACACGAACACGTGGTCACTTCTGTTTGATTTTTACAGATCTTTCAGACAGTGAATATTTGTTTGTTTGTTTGTAATTCAGCACAAAGCTACACAATGGGCTATCCGTGCTCTGCCCACTACGGGTATCGTCACTATAAGTATCGCTTTAATAAAGATAAATAAGAAAAGAAGTATTATCAACTGTAACATCAAATGTAAACGTTTATTGATATTACTTCTTTTCTATTGTTCTTTGAAAATGAGCTGAAAATTAGGGTTAAAACGT